TAGATCCTATCGACTCAAAAATTCCGGAAATCAATTCCTGAGGTCGAACAATACTCCCTAAAGTTTTTTCCCGCTCGAGAACAGCTCAGGGAGCTGAGTTTTGGACTCCTGGACTGAGCGTCGCGGGCATCGATGTTGAGATAATGCTATATTTGGATTCCCCGTACCTCCAGGAGTGCGAATACGCACGGCGGCGTCGGGAGCGTCGCGACGCCCAAATCTGAGGTCAGGTCAGGTCAAATTCCTCGGGCGCCAAGAATACAGGGGAGAAAGTATAAGTGGACATCGGACCACTTTTGAAGAGCGGCCTCCCTAAATTTTTCGTTGTCGCACACACGCCGTTTGCGGTCCCAAACCTCGGAGATGGGCTCCGAGGTTTCCCAGCTGACCTGAGCGTCGCAAACTACGGCGGTGTCGGGGGAGGTGAAGGTTTGAAGAGCGTGCCGTCTTGGTGTCGGATATGTGGCTCTTCAAAGGTGGTCCATCCTTTCTTCTTGCAGTGGGCGGCGATCCTGGAAGGGACGCTGTTATGTCGCTCCACCCTGATGTCGTGGGCAATTGGGCAGGCCTGGAGAATGTGGGATGTAGTCTCATTGGATTTACACCCTCCTCTGCACCCCTTAAGTTCCGTAGGATTGCTCATAATTTCGACGGTGGGCAGGTTGGAGGTCCGCAAGTGGACGGCCCTGACCCAGTCCCCGCCTGACCATCCCGGGGGGCATTCCTCAATCCACTTGCGAGACGAGGAGTCCTGCTTTGCGTTTTCCAATCCCACTGAGAAGGCCCCTCGGATGATCTCCCGGCGATGAAAGTCTGCTGGAAATTTCTGCGAGTGCTCTTCGAGCTTAGTCGTCAGGCTGATCACTCTAGCGGAAGAAAGTGTGGCCCGCAACACCGCATCGTCGGAGCTATGTGAGGCCAGGTTTTTGATTCTGCGGAACAAAATGGCCGGGATGGAAACGGCCATCTGCATGACTCCGAGGTCTCCGTCCCTCAGAGGAGCGTGGATGAGAGCGTCCGAAGTGTGGAGATGGAGGTGTAGGAAGCGTTTCACGTAGTGACGAGTAGCTTTGTCGACGTTTTTCAGTGTGGCCGCCGGAGCGCGGGGGGACACCAAAAAGTGGAGTAACCTCGGTAGCAGGTAGGTCTTAAGCAGGGTCATATTTTGTTGGGGCTTCAGCGGCAGGACAGCGAGTCGCTGCAGCCAGGCTGAATAATTAGTCAGGTTGGGCTTCATCACCCCATGAGTGTCAAACGTGAAATCCAGGTATTGCATGGGGTTAATGTCCATAACGCTGGGTATAGCCTTCCCCTCGATACTGAGGCCGGACTTGGGGGCTGGATAGACCGCCCCGCTGGAGGAACGGACGAGCACCAGCGTTCGGCATTTCTCAGGGTGCAGCGTCATGCCCCTGCGATGGAAGAACGCTTCTGTGGTGCGTAACAACCCCTTCACATCTCCGGCGTTCTCGCCAGTAAACACCAGGTCGTCGGCGAAGGCGAGTACGCGGCATCTGGTGCCGTTGCTGAAAGGGCACCCGCTGCCCTCGGAAGAGTCTAGCGTGTCAAGGAGTTCGTCCACCCCCAAATTAAAAAGGAGAGGGCTGAAGAGGTCTCCTTACTTTACGCCGCGGCGTATCTCGATGCAGGGGGAAGTTTCGTGCCCCACGCGGAAAGATGTTACAGAGCCCCCATGGGAGGCCATAATGTAATCCGACAGATGGTTCGGGACTCCACTCCTGTCCATTGCACGACGGATGGCCTCGTGCAAGACCGAGTCAAAGGCTTTGCGAATGTCGATACAAACTAATTTTTTCTGCACACAAGAAAGCGTCTCTTGATGATGGCCGTCAGGTGATCAGGAAGCCTCCTCTCCCGCAAGGCTCGTAGCAACGCTGGCCACCAGACATCAAACGCACCACTTATGTCGACAAAGATTGTTGCGCAGAATTTATATCTCTGGTCTCTTACCAAGTCTGTATAAAGAGTCAAAGCATCCATGGTTGATTTCCCTTGTATGAACCCAAATTGCTTGGGAGAGTGAAACTGCTCCCCGGCTTCAAATAGTCGTCTTCGTATTATTTTTTCTAAAATTTTGCCCAATTCTGGAAGCAGTGTTATTGGCCTGTAATTTTTGGGATTCGATGAATCCCCAGCCGGATCCTTCACGAGGACCTTTAGATTTCCTATCTTCCAGACTTTCGGAAAATAACCGGTCCTAAGGCACGAGTTATACAGGTGGATCAGAAAATCCTTTATAGCAGGAAAGATGACTTTTAATAGGCGACCTCGTATTTCATCAAGCCCGGGAGCTTTTTTTGGTTTGATGGACTGTATTAACCTGTGCAGTTCCCCCTCCGTGACCTCCGTTATATCGTTTTCATAGCAAAAACGATCTGTGTCAAAGTCCCGTCTCCAGACACTCTGAACCTCATCCTCGTCTCGCTCGGAGTCATCCGGAAGAAGAGCTCCCACTAGGTTTTTCATGGCCTCTTCTTTTGTAAAAGTTTGCCCATTTTCTTGAGCCACCGCGCCTAAAACCCCCGTCTTATGGATTTTTTCAGCTGCGAACTTATACACTACTCCCCATCGATTTGGACCCAGATCGAACTTGACAAAATCACGCCAAGAGTCCCTCTTGGCCTTTTCCATCCCACCCTTAAAACTTTCTCTGGCTCGGCACATGTCCCCATAGAGTCGGTCTTTGATACCAGGGTCCCTATTCGAAAATAAGGCTTTCTTAGATTTTAGATGTTTTCCTCAAATTATCCACCCTCGCCGTCCACCATTCTGGTCTATCAACAAACTTTTTCCGTCTTTTGGCAAAAGGTTTTAAAATTTCCATTAATTTCTCATAGAATTCTTCCAACGCCCTGTCTATGGTTCGTTCTGCTACAAGCACCGGATATTTCTTAATTAGACCACCACACATATCCTCCAAAGCAGGACCAACCTGCTCAAGGTCTAGATTGCCATAATCAGTAATTTTCTCCTCTTGATGGTGTTGGTTATGATCGATTGAGTTCAGCAAGCTGAAACCTATAGGCCTGTGGTCAGAGACCGTCTGGTCATCTAGCACTTCCCATTCGGTGATGCTTTCAATAGTGGACACAGAGCACAGACTCAAGTCTACCTTACTAGACCCATTCAGTGATTGGAACGTAGGTGGGCCATTCGGTTGATTCAAGATTGCCAGATGGTTTGTTAGGATAAATTCTTCCAATAGTTGGCAAGATCTGTCATTGATTCGATCATACCACAATGTGGATCGACTGTTAAAGTCGCCGCATATCACAACAGGCAGCTCTCCTACTATATCTAAAATTTCCTGTAAGTTTCTTATTGTTTTCCTCAGAGCCTCTTTGTTTGGGGGACTATATACACATAACAATACTTCAGTTTCATAATCCTGTCTCTGAATTGACAACGCAGTGACATGAGTTGTCGTAAAATTATTGAGGGATAGTATTCCAATGCTTGCATTATTCACAAGGATACAACTAGAAAACTTTTGAGATTTGTCTGCAATTAGTGTTAAATTTCCGATGGATGGGATAGTAAACGAGTCTTTTTTTGTTTTGTAACAGTATGGTTCTGTTAACAGGGCTAGGTCATAGTTTTGTTCTGTAGCTATGCGGATCGCTTCGGCCGTTGCCGTTTTATCACCGTGCGTATTTAATTGCAATCTCTTAATTTTCTTCGTCATATTCAATACTGTCAATATATTCAGCCAGTTTCTTCTTGTATACTGGGCAGTCTATGTCGCTCGCCGCGTGATTTCTAACTCTAAATTTAGCATAGATACAGTTTTCGCACAAAAGTTTACTTGGGTCTGATTTATGAGGACAGTCAATTGAATTGTGCTCTGACGATGTGCAGTAGGCACATGCCTCCGTAGAATTACATTTGCTTGCCACATGCCCAAAGCGTTGGCACTTAAAACACAGCGATATCTTTATATGATCTTCCACCTTGAAGGATTCCCATCCCAAATAGACTCACTCCACTCTTCCAGACCTTGGGGTGAAGTTCGAGTTTCCAGTTTGTCAGTTTCGCCCTTCTTGGGCCTATTTTCCCAATAAAATTGCACCAGTTTGATGGAATTTCTTCATCTTCTAGTCCTTTTTCAATAAGATTCAGCACCTCCTCGCTCTGAATTTTCTCATCGACATTATATACCACTACTTTGGGCCAGATTGGCTTTGGCCTCCTTACTTTTAATTTAGGAGTATTTACCACTGTCTCCTCTAGTAGTTTCTCAACTTCTTTGGAGCTTGACTCAATTAATATCCCGTTGTTTTTGATTTTAATAACTCTATCTGGTTTAATATTCAAGGTTTTAGGGTCAACCGATTTAGTTAATTCCTTCTTCGTATCGTCTCAGGACTTCAGGTCGTTGTTTCCGTTTGGGAAATCAATACCTTGTACTTCTTTTGTTTCTTGCTGTGGGTCCTTATTGAGCTATTACCTTGAGAACTTACAGCTTGCGCGTAAGACGGGCCAGCGTTGCATGTTCCAACCGCCTCGTGAATCGTTGTCTTCACTGTTTCTACAATATCTTCTTCGTTATTTCTTTTTCTCATAACATTTGCGGTGTACAAGCGGCTCAGGTGATTTAATTTAGCTTGCAGTTCTAATACGGCGCTGATTGCAGTTACCCTTTTTTCTTTCGGCTCTTTGGTGGCTAGTACGAACTCTGTAAGAGTGGATAAAGAACCATTTATCGCCTGTAGTATCGAACTCAGCGCTTTGTCTTCTGGCATCACTGGATTGTCTGGTAAACCACTAACACTGATTGTTTCTAACGTTTTTAGTTTTTTAATGTCCGGTTGGGACGTCATGATTTCTGACCGGGGGCGGGTAGCCCCCACACTAAATCATTCACAAGAAAAACGAAACTGATTGTTTTCCGAACTGATTACTTAAAACGGTCCCTAGACACTTTTTAACGGTCGCCCGGCACGCCGAACTCGACACCGGATGTCGGCCAGACGATGACATCACCGTCTGCCGGCCGAGCGTAAACCCCTGTGCTCTCTGTTTGGCAGGAGTGGGGACGCGAGACTGACACGTCCGCTCTCGATGGTAACTAAACAGCGACTGATACAAACTAATGCCAAACCCCGGCGGCTACTAGTCCGCTCGCCCATGAGCGTGTCCAGCGGGATGACGTTGGCCAGACATCCGTCGACAGGGACGAACCCTTGTTGGTTAAGATTCAGGCTGACGGCAGCGTCCAGCTTAGGGATCAGGACGCGGTGGAACAGCCGCTGGACGGCGGACCCGATGGTGATGGGCCTCCAGCTGGTGGCCAGCCTGCGATCCTTCCCCGTTTTAGGGACCAGCACAGTTCTTAAGAGGGACCAATCAGGGGGCTGGTACCGCGACGCCAGGACGAGGTTGAAGAGAACGGCTAGGGCGTCGTCGCAGCACCGCTGAACCTTCATAGCGAGGACGCCGTCACAGCCCGGGGCTGACAGCTTCCAAGTTCGTTTAGCCGCCTTGAGTTTCTGAGGAGTGATCGGAGAGAAAGGTAGCGACGGAGATGGCCCCTTCGACGTGAAGGGCTCGCGGTCGGGAGGGGAGGGGGACTCGAACATCGCTCCGTGTACCCGCATGACCTCGTCGGAGGGATGCTCGTCAGATGGGGGAGCTCCAGCCGCGATGGAATCGACTAGGCCCCTAGGGTTGCGACCGAAGAGCTCCCGGATCTTTTTCAGTTCTGCGGCTTTGCGATGGTGGCGGTTGGCTGCTCTCCCGGGCTGGGATGGAGGGGGGCCGCTTCGCTTCTTGGGTGCTTTGGGATGCTTACGCTCGTCTAGGGGGAAAAGGCAACCCAGCATGTCTTCGATGAGCTCGCCCCACTGGTCGGGTTGTAGTTATAGGGCGCGGTGGACCCAACCGCGTAGCTTCCTAACTCTAGGATTGTTCTTGTCCGCGATCTCGCGGAATAGAGGGGCGAGACAATTCCTCACGTCCTGGTGAGTGGTCGGCTGGGCAGGAAGGTGGGCGACGGCGGGGCTAGGCTCGAAGGGGCGCTCTGATGGATCGAGGTCCTGGCAGAGTGGATGGTTCGATGAACCCGGAAGGCTGTCCGGAACGCTACAGGCCGAGAGGGTGGTGGGCGGATGCCCACACAGCCTCGTTCTCCGCGGCAAAGTCGGTTGTTCTATCCGAAGACGTGGTGATGGAAGGGGCGTCCTGAGATTGCAACGACGCCGTGAGCCAGGGTAGAGAGGGTGCGGCTAGAGGCGAGGCCACTATCCGTGACGTGTCAACAGGTGCCCACGGGCTCACTAGAATGGTGGGTGATGCGATGGGAGAAGCATAAGCGAGCCCTGGTGATGAGTCTCCCGTGTACGGAGAAGGGGGAGACAGACGCGCGGCCGGGGCTCCGGTGGTCAAGCTAGCACCAGAGAAGCTCGCGTTGCAGATCGAGGACACATTCAGCCGTCCAAGGTGGAAGAGACGCTAAGTGGGGGGCCCGCTGGACGGTGGCTGAAGGTGTCTAACAGGCTGGGCTCCAAGGCTGCCGATGCCGAGCGACTCGACATATCGGACGCCAGCGATTCGTCCGTGTCGCTGTCTCCGGACGCGTTGGTCAGCGACGCGAAGAATGCCTGAGGGTGAGCTTTGCGCTCATGAATCCTCATGCCCGGGAGGCTGTCGAAGGTCCTCGGGCACTCAGGGCATGGGTGGAGAACGACCTTGGCGCGAGCCTCGGCTGGTTGCTGGGAACACTACTTTTTATGGTGGCAAATACCCTGAACCGAGTGGTAGACCTTGCCGCAGAAGGGGCACGAGAAGCTTGGTCGGGGTACGGAGGGCTTCACGGGGAGTAAGCCTGGCGCGCATATGGCCATGTGTCGGGTGAGGCTGGAGGGGTGTCGATACTCCTTCAGGCACCCTGCACAGGAGAAGGTCCGTGCCGCCGACGGGCTGGAGCTCCTGTCTGCGTCGGGACGCAGGCGGCAGCTGTCCCGGATGTGGCGCACCCATTCTGATCTCGTTCGGATAACTCTGTCGCACATCTCGCAGATGTACACCCCTTTGGGGCGGGCGGGAGGCGCAGCGGGGTTGCCCGAAAGTACATCGGGCGTCGAGGCGGAGTTAGGCTCAGAGGTGGACGGCATGGCGAGGCCGGGGAGTGGCGAGCCCGGGTAGACGGCACCCGAGATGTCGCGGATGGTCGCGACGCGGAAGGCAACGCGGGAGCAAGGGGGGGGCGCAGAGGTCCCTGTGACCCCTACTCGAACCCTGCTCAACGTGGGAGCGGGGCGGGTGGGCGACTCCCTATCGCCTGGCCGACGAGGCGGGCTGCAGTGAGAAAAGCCTACATGATGGGCCGAGACTCGCGATGGATCGAAAGTTTGTGCTCGGGCCTCTCATGCGAATCAGAGTCGAAAGATTTTCCGTGGCGCCGAAGGTGGACTAGATACGAGTCCGGCGATGTTTCCAAACGCTCGGCGAGGTCAAAGAATCCCCGGATACCCTTTTTTCCCGGCTCCTAGGTCGCCTGGGGGCCGAGTTTGCAGCTGGTGTCACCGGCGTCGGGGGCGTCGAAAGTGAGAATACCGGATTCTGACTCTACACACCCTCAGGAGTCCGAATATCACACCCAAACCTTTCCCAGACGTCTGCGTCTATGGGCGTCGCGACGCCCAGTTTACGTGGGTCGCCCAAAAACGGTGTCAAAAAAAATTAGGACGCCTCTAGATGTAGAGTACGCCGAGAAGAAGGCGGGCGTCGAGGTGGAAACCGGCGTCCAAGCAGAAGCGGGGCCTGAGTTGGGAGGACGCCTAGGGACGCGAAAATAAAAGAAAAAGAAACCAACTCAGGTGCAATGTCGTAAGGTTCAAAACTCCACGGCGCGATGACGTAACGGTGTTATCGACACGCCGCTTGCCCACGGCCGGAGTGGGGACGCGATGGTTAGATTTTTAACGGTCGCTACCGAATATTTGCAGATTAAAAAATCGATATTTCGCGAAACGCTTGACCGATTTGGCTAAAATTTGGACCAAAGTAAAGCTGGCGTCGGGGCGTTTCTTTTAAGCCCAACTACACAATTTTTACAACACTTTTTACCACCACTTTCTTGGAGTTCGACGGAGCGATGTAAAACACGACCGTATACCCGCGCTTGCTTGAATTTCTTCACGTTAACATTCAGAGCACTGGGCAGAAATTACATTGCGTCAACACCCGCTGGGGCCATCGCAATGCTTTGTTTTAATTAGACAGTCGGATTCCCCCGTTCCGTGCCAGTTCTGAGCTGACCGTTGAATGGCGGCCGAAGAGGACATCCGGACGCCCTTTCGGGCGCACCCGGAGCCTCGCAGCAAGACGGTTCCGCGGGAGGCCAAGGCACAGGACCGGGCTCGGATCCGACGTCGCCGCCGAAACGGCAACGCTTCACCTCGCCCAGGCCCGGCACGTCAGCAGCGACCCGCTTCCCCGACAAGCCCGACACGCCCCGATCCTCAGAGCCAATCCTTATCCCGAAGTTACGGATCCAATTTGCCGACTTCCCTTACCTACATTATTCTATCGACTAGAGGCTCTTCACCTTGGAGACCTGCTGCGGATATGGGTACGAACCGGCGCGACGCCTCCACGTGGCCCTCTCCCGGATTTTGAAGGTCCGAGGGGAAGATCCGGACACCGCTGCAATTGCGGTGCTCTTCGCGTTCCAAACCATATTTCCCTGCTAGAGGATTCCATGGAACTCGAACGACACGTCACCCAGATGGGCTATCGCGGCTCCGGATGTCGCGTACGCCGGATCGTACTCGAAACGAACGAACGTTACGTAAGTCGTCTCGACATCGACCTCCAACGGTAGGCGTCTAAAAACATCCAACTCGCTCCGATGAACGCCTTTCTCAAATGAGGCGAACCGAGCAGTCTTTGAAATTCACACGACCCTCAGCCAGGAGTGGTCCGGGAACAGTTTATCCGAGGACCGCAATGTGCGTTCGAAATGTCGAGGTTCGTGTGTCCTGCAGTTCACAAGTTCACGCGCAATTAGCTGCGTTCTTCATCGACCCACGAGCATTACACATTACATTAAGACTCCGGCTCGCCTCGCGACGGCCTGGAACGTTCTGCGTCGAAATTCTTTCGGTTTCGATTGTTTATTAAGAAAAAAAAGAAAAGAGAAACTTTCTAACGACGTGTTGTCTTACTAGTTCCTTTCTCTCTTTTTTTAGTTAGTCGCAAGACTTGATCTCCTTTTCTAAAGCAGAAGCTCAACCGCACAACGATCACTTAACCAAACAAACTAGGTGTGATCGCAGAGGTCGCAGTGGAATGGCGGCTGCGAGGCTGTGCGAGGCCCAGGGGCGGCGGGTTGATGGGCGTCCATTCCCGGGGCGGCTCCGAGGGAGGATGTTGGGTGGGAGGCCGCATGCGGAGACGCCATGCCAAAATTCCGAGTAGCGTACGCGGCGCGGGTGGTAGTCGCGGGAGTAGAGGGGGGGCGCAGGGGTCCCAGTGACCCCTACTCGGACCTCACTCCGAGAGGGAGCGAGACGGCGAGCGTCTCCCGTACGCTGTCGAAAATCGGCGATCAAAACTCGCGGGAGGGGGCGGTGTCGTGAAGCGGGGAGGGTTGGGGATGTGAAAAAAATGACGAGTCGGGGTCCGAATCTATGGGTCGGATTTTTTTCAATCGGTAGTAGCGACGGGCGGTGTGTACAAAGGGCAGGGACGTAATCAACGGGAGCTTATGACTCGCGCTTACTGGGAATTCCTCGTTCATGGGGAACAATTGCAAGCCCCAATCCCTAGCACGAAGGAGGTTCAGCGGGTTAACTTGTTGTAAATATATCGGAAGTGATTATTAAATATAAACTTCGAGTCTATCACCAGGCTCAGATATTTATTTTCTTCAACGACTTTTAATTTCTGTCCATACACATGTACCACAATATCTCGATGATGAACTCTTGCAGGCGAAACATTTATCATAATCTTTGTCTTCGTAGGAGAAACTTTCATTTTGACCGAGTCACACCAACCAACAAAAGTTTGAACAGCCAGATCAAAGACTAAGGTAGAAAGCTTATCAGTGCGTACATTTAAGTCTTGAAAAACAACAGATCGGTTCGTCAAATAATTTTTAATGAGTGATACTAGGTGCATAGGAAAATTTTCTTTTCTCATAATGTTAATCAAAGCAGGCCACCAAACATTGTCAAAAGCACCCGCAATGTCAAAAAATATCGAAGCCACGTATTTCTTTTTACACCTATGCACAGAGTCTTTATACTGTTTTATGGCATCAACAGTTGAATAACCAGATGTAAAACCAAATTGCGATCAGAAAATTCCATCTGGAATCCAAGACAATAACATTTGTTTTATAAATTTTTCAAAAAGATTGCCATACTCAGGCAGCAAAATTATTGGTCTATAATTTTTTATATTTCACACGTTGCCATGCGGGCTCTTTGGTTAAATTGTCAAATTGCCTATCTTCCAAACATTTGGAAAATAAGCAACCCTCAAACACGAATTAAAGATATGAACAATAAACGGCTTCACTAAATAATCAATCTTCTTTATGAAAGAGCCACGCAAAGCATCCCAACCCGGAACCTTATTCTTCACATTTGAAATTAAAAAATCATAAAAAGCCTCGTTAACCTCGTACCCAAATGGAGCAAAACTTCCCGGGAAGTTACAGAAATCTTCTCTCCATATCCCCTGAATAGGCGAGTCGGTCGATGGATCATCGTCAGGAAGAAGAGTTGTAACCAGATGCTGCAGAGAATCGGTCAAAGAATTAGTGAAGGTATCATTCCCCAAAGTAAAAGACGAAAAGACAGAGTGAACTCTATTTTTAGATACCGACATCTTGTACACAACTCCCCAAGGATCCCTACCAGGATCATTTGGCTTTATTTAGTTCATGTTTAAATTTCGTTTGTGCAGATTTCATCTCTTAATAAAGAAGTGCCCGCTGCGGAGAGTTTGCCGATTTATAGAACTTATTTTTGCGTTCGAAATATGTCACTTTTGCACGCTCAACTTGTGCCGACCACCAATCAGGTCTATTAATATATTTTTTCCGAAAACGAACATGCTTCTCTAATATTGATTCTAGATAGGAATAGAACTCGTTTATTGCAGCATCTATGCGGTCAGTAGAATATAAAAAAGGATATTTGTTCATTAAATACTCAATAAAAGGCAAAATATCTACTGCAAGAGATGAAAGATCGATGCTGTTATAGTCTTTACAAAGAACGTATTCTCGATTTTTAACGTCATGATCATGAAGTCGTAGATTGAAATGAATAACACGATGGTCGGAAGTTGTGATACCATCAAGAATCTCCCACGAGAGTACCCGGTCATCATCAAAATTACCAAAAGTAACATCGACGTTACTCTTCCCATTCATGGTCTGAAAAGTGGTAAATTCCGACAACTTATTATAAACACGCAAATCCCGATCAATGAGAAAAGTTTCGAACACTTCTCCACGTCGATCATCACCCTCATCACCACTATCAAACCAGATGGGTGACCTGACATTCACATCACCACAAATGATAAATTTACACCGATCAATCGACCGAAGCACCCTCATGAGATCTTCCACCTGTATTATGATATCTCCACTGGGGGGAAAATAAATCGAAATCAGAAAAATAAGTTCATCAAAGCCCTGTATGGATATTACGGTTATGTATTCTGAAGACAAATGATCGATATAAAGTGCTTCCAATGAGGGATTATTTCAGAAAATACACGAATAGAAATATTTCGTAGAAACTCCCACAACCCTTATGTCACCAACAAACGGAACTATGTAACTACCATTGTCGCTTCTATAATTATAAGGCTCCTGTAC